TATGCATGTCTAAGTTCAAATATACATTTAAAAGTCCCTTAAAGTTTGAACTATAGAGAATATAAAGTCAGGACAAGAGAGAGGGAGAGAGAGAGAGAGAGAGAGAGAGAGAGAGAGAGAGAGAGAGAGAGAGAGAGAGAGAGAGAATGAATCATTTCTCAAGGAAGACATTAGACAGAAAGTTCCATGAAAATATGGGCCAAACCTGTTTTCACCACTGTGCTTCGAAATGCCTATTCACATTTAAGGAGATATAAGTGCTTAAGAAAGACTTACAAAATTGACAAAGAAAATGATGAAAAGGTAAATTTAACCCCCCCCCCCCCAAAAAAAAAACAGTAAATAAACTTACACAAATAATTTACCTTTCTGGAACTATAAACTTCAAAAAAAAATTAAATCTGTTAGTAGAATGTTTAGTTATGGAAACAAAATCCAAATAACCCACCCCTGACTAAATCTGAGTAAGAGGGCTTCAGGCCATTTTTAACTGACTCATACCATCCTTTCTCTGTTCTGGTTGTGTACCGAAGAGGGCAGCAAGCATTGTTTATCTTAGAGGGAGCAGAACAGAGCTTAGTCTGTTTTCTTTTGGACTCCAGGGACTTCCTGCAAGATTGCCTTAAAGGGTGTTCCTTTATTTGTTTAACTCCAAACTTAGACACACATATGATAAACACATTTAAAGGTCAATGTATAAGAGAAAACAGAAGACACAAATAAGCACTAAACCGAAAAGTATACTAAAAGAAGTTTGCTTAGAAGGTTATTGTAAAGGTAATGTTCTCCAGAATCAAGACTATTACAGATAAATCCAAGGTAACAGCATACACCCCGGGAAGACCTTACAAGGCACTAGGCTCACATTCTTGGTTAATCTCTGGCTTTGCATGAAGCAGAAGGTCAAGGTAGTGTTAGAAACCATCTCGCTTAGTTTTAGTATTTATATACCCTCATGCAAGCACGAAGTTCATTTGAAGAGATTAAGAGATTTAGGTTTTTGGTTCTAGGACTTCAAAGAAATATCTGACAAATTACCTGTGTCTGCACCTGATAAATCTAGATACTGGAAAATTAGTTTTGAAACATCAGTAAGGCTACATTCAATGAATGACATGATAACCCCACAGACAGAGAAAAATCAGACTCCAGATTTGCTACACGGATTGAGTAAACTAATGCAAATCCAAAAGACTCTAAAATCCAAACCTGGTTTTTAAACTTTTATTATTGAGAATTACATACATAAATACAATGAAACATGATCACATTTATATCCTCCTCAATAGATCCCTCTCTCAATTTCATATCTCTTAGTTTCCATCAATTGCCACCAGCTCCCCAGGAGGCAGGTAGGATCTAGATATCATCTAACCTAACTATGAAGGAATTTGGCTGGCTTGATCTTATGCATGTTTTGTTCAAATAGTCATAGCTGCTGTGAATTCATGAGTGTGCCAGCCACGTCATGCCTAGAAAGCCATATTTCATAGTGTTCTTCTCCATCCTCCATATTTTATGTTCTTCCTATCTCCTCTTCTGTGACGTTCCTTAAGTCTTAGGAGGGCAGTGGTAATATAGATTTCCCACTTAGAAATGGGAAATAGGTACTGAGTCTCTTATTCTCGGGACTTTGACGAATTATGCATCTCTTCCATTGATTGCTCACCATTGCAAGAAGCTGATTTTTTTAACCAAGGTTGAAAGTAGCCAAGGTCTATGGATATACACACAAATATTTAGAAGGTAATCTGATAGCATGGTCATTTAGCAAAATAACAATAAAAGGTTCCATTCTAGGGCCTATGACTTTCCCAGCCATGGCTTTTACTAGGATATTGCTAATAATTTTTTAAAAGTCATGAAGATCATTGTAAGTTTGAAGCCAACCTGGTCTAGCTTTATTACATAGGGAGACTATCTCAAAATATGAAATAGACAGAGACACAGAGAAGACAGACAAATAGAGAAAGAGAGAAACCATGGATTTAGGAGGGGATAGAGTTCTATAATAATTGAGATTTCAACACTTTAGTTTCAATAACATATTAATTCCTTTAAATGAGAACTGTGGTGATATTTTGTTTGTGCTCTCACAAATAAAGATTGCCTGGAGATCAGAGTACAGAGCTAGCCATCAGAGGCCAGGTAGTGATGGCATACAGCTTTAATCTCAGCACTTGGAAGGAGGAAACAGGAAGTGATATGTCTGGGTGGAGAGAAGAAGTGATAAGACAGGGTGGAGAGAGGAGCTTGGCCCTTTCAGGCTGAGGATTCAGTAGAGGTAAGAAGTCTCTCTAGTGGCTGACTCCTTTACTTTCAGCATTTACCCCAATATCTGGCTCTGGGTTTTTATTATTACAACCAATTAGGATTCATGCTACAGAGAACTGACCACCTAATGTCAGTAAAGAAACAAAGGACATAAAGAATAAACTAAATGGCCTTAATGACATGTAAAGTACATGCACCAACAAGAAAAAACACATTCAACTCAAATGCATACACAACAATGTCTAGCACTGACAAAATTAGGTAACAAAAGCAGTATTATTATATTAAAGAATGAAGCACCAGGTGTGGCTCTGTGAGACTATACTCTCAGCTACTTAGAAAGCTGACACAGAGATTACTTGAACATAAGAGTTCAAGAACAAGCAAGGCAGTGGTGGCTTATACCTTTAATCCCAGCACTCAGGAGGCAGAGACAGGTGATCTCTAAATTCAAGTCCAGCCTGGTCTACAGATCAAGTTCCAGGACAGCCAAGGCTACACAGAGAAATTCTGTCTCAAAAAACCAAAAGAATTAAAAACAAAAAACAAAACAAAAACAAAAACAAACAAACAAAAAAACAGTTCAAGAACAGCCTGGGAAAGAGAGACTCAATCCCATAAGTAAAAATAAAACCACTACCACCATCCTATAACAAAAATCAATGGCTCATGCTGTTATCTCCTCTAACAATAATGGAATAAAATTTCAAATGAGGAACAGAAGAATATACATTGTAAACCTTACTATTGTTAGGGTGATAACACTAGTCAGTGATCTACAGAGATAATTCAATAATGATCAAAACTGTCACTGCCTTTCTACTTTAGAAAAATGAATGACCTCATTTTAAAATCTGTAAAATTTCTAGGAATCCTAAACAGAAAATAAACTCTTAAAAAAGAACAAAAAGATCAAGTTTGTAGGGAGTTTGTTTAGTGGGCAAAGTATTTACTTCAGTAATGTGAGTGGAAGTCTGGATCACCAGAACACATGTAAAGGTAGCTCACAAGACTAGCCAAAACAGCCAGCTGCAGGTTGTGTAAGAGACCATGCCTCAATCTATAAGGTAGAGAGCAATCAAGGACGACATCCAATGTTAACCTCAGTGTACCTACCCTCCTATATTGGTGCACACATATCATAAACACATACAAACACACACACTCCATATGTACATAGATTAAAAAAATACAATGGCCCGTATTCCCTACAAAGCAAGTTATCAAAACAATATTGTATAACTCAGACACATGGACTACTGGAATAGAATTAAAAGCATTCAAGTACACTTATTCATGCAAAGTAAATCAATCAGTCTTTGATACACCATCCAAGACCATTTTACAAAGGCACTAGATAACTGTAGACAAATGAAAAAGAAAGAATGAAGTTCAACTTCCTCTGCATCATCTGTCAAACTAACTCAAAATGATCAAATACCTAATGTAAGAATTAAAACCTGTAAATTATTGGAAGAAAATACAGAAGGTGTTTTGTTTTTTTTTTTTTTTTTTTTGAGACAGGGTTTCTCTGTGTACCCACAACTATCCTGGAACTCACTCTGTAGACCAGGCTGGCCTAGTATTAATATTAAGGGATCGACCTGCCTCTTCCTCCTCAGTATTGGGGTTAAAGGCATGCATTACCACTGCCCGGGTTTTTTAAAAAGGTGCATTTAGTAATGGCTTCTTGAATATATCAAAAGCATAGGCAAAAAAAAAAAAAAAAAAAAAAAAAAAAAAAAAAAAAAAAAAAAAAAAAACACGGAAAAAGAAAAAGAAGAAAGTAAGAAAGAAAAGCTAGAGGGGTGAAGAAGCTGGGGGTGTCTCTTGTGATTAACAAGAGATCAAGACCACTGTAGTAAAATCTCCGCTTTGTGGGGACAGTGGATGCTGGGACTGCAGAATCAGCTGTGAATAAGAGAATAGTATAACTGAGGAAGAATTTTCTGGGAAGTGTTCCCTCAGGATCAGCACACAGAAGCTGCTACTGTAGTCCTGAGGGTGTCAAGACTGTACCTCATGCTAACAGCTAAACTGAATACTGTTAAGAATCTCCCAAGTTGGCCGGGCAGTGGTGGCACATGCCTTTAATCCCAGCACTCGGGAGGCAGAGGCAGGTGGATCTCTGTGAGTTCAAGGCCAGCCTGGGCTACAGAGTGAGTTCCAGGAAAGCCTCCAAAGCTACACAGAGAAACCTTGTCTAAAAAAAAATCTCCCAAGTGGTACTGTTTTTGAAAGCATGAAGGAATCCCTGAAGAGAAGCTGGGAGAGGCCCCTGGTGAGGGCAAAATGTCAGTTGCAGTAGAAGGCCCAGGATTGAAGGGGTCATAGAGAGAAGCTGGGTGCCATTAGTTGAAGGTACAGCCAGCTCAGTTGCAGTGGAGACCGGAGCACTATGTTGGAGTGCAGTAGAGTGGCATGATGACTAAAGACATCAGAAGTTGTGGAGGGAGCTGGCCTAGCCTCAGAGACAAGCTCTGTATGCTGTGGAGGGTGGAGCTCAAGATGACGATTCAATCCCTTCGGAAAAGCACAGAGGACTGTGACTGGATCAGAAGACATCAAGTGCCTAGCTTTATACTGCTGAACTTTGGTTTTGTGTCTTTTTTTTAAACTTTATAGGAGCCCACAGTTGAGAGATACTGAACTTTTAAAATAACTTTGGAGTTTTAGAGAGACTATGGATATTTTAGAGATACTTTGAATATTTTAGAGAAACTCTGAACTTTGAAAAAGACTGTATATTTTAAAAAGACTAGGCTTAGAAAGTGATTGAACTTTTAAAGACTGTGGGACTTTTAAAATTTAGAAGGTTTTATATTATTATATTAATATTAAAATGAGATCTTGCTGGGCAGTGGTGGAGCACACCTTTAATCCCAGAACTTGGGAGGCGTATCTCTGTGAGTTTGAGGCCATCCTGGTCTACAGAGTGAGATTCAGGGCAGGCACCAAAACTACACGGAGAAACTCTGTCTCGAAAACAACAACAAAAACAACAACAAATGAGGTCTTTAAGATGAACAAGAAAGTAAAAGTTATAGTGATGTGCTTGTGTGACAAGCTGATAAGGGGTCAACTTGACACAATGTCAACTGGACACAAGCTAGAGTCACTCTGTAAGAGGATCTGAACTGAGACAACGCCCCTACCAGATTGGCCTGTGGTGCTTTCTCTTGACTGGGAGGATGGCTGGGCTACACAGAGAAACCCTGTCTCAAAACAAAACAAAAACCCAAAACAAAACAACCCCTCCCCACCCCCCACATCAAAAAACAACCCCTCTAAAAGTTGTGTGGAAACTTACAATCTTCCAATCCAAGGAGGAAGGAAAAAAAAAACCTGCAATTGGGGGAACAGTTGAACACAGGTGACAGAAAAGGACATGGGAGATACACTCAGGGTTAAAGTTTAATTAAGTGGAGATAGAGTGACTGGGGAAAGGAGATGGTGGGCAGGAGTGGATTAGCCAAAACTAGGATGTATGAAGAAGCCTTGTCGTGGTTTGAATGAGAGTGACCTCATAGACTCATATACTTGAATGCTTGGTTCCCAGTTGGTGGACTGTTTGGCAGACTGAAAGGTGTGGCCTTGTTGGAGGAGCTCTGTCACTAGGGGTGGGACAGGCCCTGTCTCTCATTCTCGGCCTCCATCTTATAGACGATGTAAGTTCTCAGCTACTACTTCAGGGCCATGACTGCCTGCCTACCCACCTGCCACCATGCTATCCACCATGATGGACATGGACTAACACTCTGAAACTGTAGGCAATTTCCCAATTAAATGTTTTCTTTTATAAGTTGCCTTAGTCACAATGCCTCTTCATAGTGATAGAACAGTAACTAAGACAAGCCTTTTGGAATCCACTGGCTTGCAAGCTGATTTTATATATATAGTATATTTTAAAATATACTCAATTGTATATTTTAAAATGATTTAAACATTGTTTTGTTTTATACCAATAAATAAACTGGACTGAAAATCTTTCTTGAGTCATTAAATACTGCAGCACAGGGCTGATGGTGGCTTACCAAGTGAAACCAGGTTCTTCCAGTTTTCCAGCATTACCTTCCTGTACAGAGTTCTTTGCAAAGGATCCAGCAAAGCCCACTCCTCCTCTGTGAACTGCACAGTCACATCTTCGAAGGACACCAGCTCCTAAATCATTCATACATCACAGCTTAGCCAAGGACCCCATCAAAGACAATAGAGAGCCCAAGATGGTAGACCCATAGACGAAAATCCAGAGCAAAAGATGTTAGGCACATTGAATTCTATCTGCCTCGGATTTTGGGCTTTGTATCCTGGCTCTTCTCAGGTCTACTGCCCTACCTCCCAAAGTCCCTTTCTTTTTCCACTAAGACTTGAACTCTCATCTCCTGGGGCTAAGCACAAGCCTGGCACAATCCACAAAGGGAAGAGACAACTGTTATATGAATGAATAATTTCCCCATGCTGTGATAAACTGTGAAAAAAAGACAGTCAAACTTTTAGTTGACCACACCACAAGCTCTTAGGAAGTGTATGGCATCCTTAGAGCCTCTGGAAGGAGCTTAGAAAATACAGTGAATATTGATGCAACAGACATTTTCTGGGATGTCTCTGAGCCCTTGCCAGATGCCTGGGGATCCTGCTTGGAGTCTTTATAGTAACAAGTTTTATGCAAGGAATGATTGGAAAAAATGAAGACCCGACTCACCTGTATCAAGTTTGTCAAGAACTCATTGGCCAGCCCCCTTTTCCCTGTGTGTCCTTTCTCGGGAGAGAGTGGGTACAGAGAAGACTGAACTGGGGAAGAAGAAATAAATCATGAGAATCCAGGACATCCTAGGGTGCTCTGAGGTTTACTTATCCACCCGAGACTGGCAATATACCACCACCCACACTTACAGCATGCATATTCACATGCACACACATAGCACCTTCTTCTACCCCTGCACAGATACTTAGTCACAGCTTTCATAAACACGGCATAACCTTTTCTCAGCTTAGCTAAGATTCAGGGTACCTGGGTCCGACTGCCTATGAGGAAGAGAACATTTACTCCAGGAACAATTAAAGGTATAATTCAAAAGAGACCATATAATCATCATGAAGACGACAGTTCTAACACCTAGCAGCTACATCCTGTTTAAGAGCTATCTAGTATATCTAAGGACTACTGGGCTTCACCACTCCTGTCTTTCCTGCTAGGCCTGAGTCTCCTCAATGGCTACCCACTTTCTGAACACGGGGGCCTTTGAATCTTACTTTAAGGCTGCTAGGACCCAATGACTTACCATGTATGAGAGGAATGGCAGCTGCTGCCATCCCGACTCCAACACCAGAGTTCCTGAACACGATGCCGTAGATGGGTCAGATATACTTCTGCCTCCCACAGACACCAAGGGCAGCACCCTGGCATCAACAGAAGATAGGAAGTCTCCCCAGCCACTCTCCTTCCCAGGGGTGTTGAGGATGAGCCCCTTTCAGCTTGCCCATCTTAGCCTTCTTAACACGTACATCCCACACTGGACCTCTGTCCTGCATGGCAGGTTGTCTGTCCAGGGAAGAAAAAAGGTCTGTTTTCCCTCTGCTTCCATATCACCAGCAATAAGAATTCTCCCCACTTCAAGCAACACAGAAATTCTGAAGTCCTCACCAGCTGGACATCTACTAATTCCATCTACTTTTGGCACAATCTGCTTGAATACACTGTCAGGCTTGAATATTCACGGGCTGCAGGATCAGTTCCCAGAGTGCCCCTATACCCCAAATTTAGACGCCAGCTGTCAGCCCTAAGTGGGCTTCCCTATGTTCTTCACCTGGTGGCTGAAAACTGGGGCTTCCATGATTCCTTTCTTAGGTTTGATTAATTTGCTTAAAAGGTCCACACAACTTCAGGAACAATTTCTTTATTGTTGGGGTGCAGCCATTTCTGTCTTAGCTTGTTAAAACTCACAGATTTCTCTTTCTTTCTTTCTTTCTTTCTTTCTTTCTTTCTTTCTTTCTTTCTTTCTTTCTTTCTTTCTTTCTTTCTTTCTTCCTTTCTCTTTCTTTCTTTCTTTCTTTCTCTCTCTCTCTCTCTCTCTCTCTCTCTTTCTTTTCTTTCTTTCCTTCCTTCCTTCCTTCCTTCTTTCTTTCCTTCCTCTTTTCTTTCTTTCTTTCTTTCTTTCTTTCTTTCTTTCTTTCTTTCTTTCTTTCTTTCTTTCTTTCTTTCTTTCTTTTTTAATTGGGGTGAATGCTGGAACATCAGAGAAGCAGAATAAGCCACAGCTACTGCACCTCGCCAGTTCCTCAGCTGATCATGTTTCCTCAGACTGGATGATTCTGAGTCCTTATCTAAATGAATCTTAGCTGAACTGCTGCTCAAAAGCCTGAAAGCTTAACCAGCCAAATGCTTCTAGTTCCTGGTCTTCATGCCTTATATACCTTTCTGCTTTCTGCCATCACTGCCTTAGGATTGAAGGCTTACTTTCTGGCATTAAAGGTGTGAGTCACCATGCTTGGCTGTATCCTTGAACACACAGAGATCCAGGTAGATCTCTGCCTCTGGAATGTTAGGATTAAAGGTGTGAGTGCACCATTTTCTAGCCTCTGTATCTAGTGGCTGTTTTGTTCTCTGACCCCAGATAAGTTTATTAGGGTACACAATATTTTGGGGAACACAATACCACCACATTAGGGGCCAAATGTAGATGTAACAGTCTTATTAAATAAGAATCACAGAGCCAAATGCAGAGTTAAAAGCCCAAGAGGTCAGAGTAGTAGCTAAGAGCTGATACTAAAAACCCTTTCTTACCCTTTGCTGCCACAAACTCACAGATTTCTAAGGAGGCTTATTAAGATTCTGGAAATTCTAAAGGGAGGCTCCTTAAAGCATGAAAAGTAAACAACTCAGGAGACCCTGATCCATTAAACTGATCAGATTCACAAGGCCCCTTTCTCCTCAAAGTAATATAAGCAGTAAAGACTGCTGAGGAGACAGAGACCAGCCTAGCTGCCTGAAGAGGGTCAGACCAGCTAAGCTGCCTGGATGAGATATTCTCTGACCTGTGGAACCACTTGCAAGTAGTGCATTGAGTTCCAGGTTTCCAGTAACGGTGAGTAACCACCGATGTTGGGGTGGTTTTTGGTGATGCACCCACTCTTGATGGCCCCATGCATCTTTTTCCTTCAAGTTCTCCATCTTGCCACCCAAGCCAGACAGCATCCTCCGTGGTGAAAGAATCTTATCCCTAAGTATGTTCTGTTTCTAGTTACTGTCCAGTCTGCTTCTCTATACCAGCCAATCTTTCTCGTGTCTCTTTCACTCTTGTCCTATTTGCTCCTCACGTAGTAACACCTACTGTCCACCACTTCCATCTCTGAAGCAATACTCCTGAATCAATGACGTTCACTATAACAGAGGCACAAACTACTGTCACCGGACACTACTTCCCATCTGTTCCACGAGTAAAACCACAGGTTGCAGCCTTTGCTGAGGAAACAAGGAAAAGCTTTTCACACACAGCTGGGCATAGCTCTTATGAAATTAATCTGGTCAACATTAGACGAAGAAGCATAAACTTTCAGTATTTATCCTTTCAATCCCATTTCTAAGAATTAGCTCAATGATATTCAAAAACCAAAAGACTAGGGTAAGATCACTGACTGTACTTATAATAGCAAGTAATTAAGATAATCACAAACAGTCCTGGGGAGATAGCTTAGCAGGTAAAGGCACTTGCTGTCAAGCCTCACAACTCTTCTTGATCCGAGGGACCCACATGGTGGAAGATAAGAACTAGCAAGCTGTCCTCTTACCATACACTATGGCACATAATACACACACACACACACACACACACACACACACACACAGATGTAATAAAATAAACACAGCCCACATAGAAGGAGACCCAACTTTTGTAAGTTGTCCTCTTACTTCCACAGTAGCACATGTAAAAATAAATGAAAGACTAATAAAAATTAAAAAGAAATAACTACAAATGATTATCAAATGGGAAAGGTTAAATAAAACTGTAGGCGACCTACGTAATAACACAAAGCAAAAAAAAAAAAATACAAAAACAAACCTGAAAACATCTGTAGGTACTGACAGAAATTATCTTCAATCTAAGTGGAAAAAATAAATCAAGATACCAAGAAAGTGGTATGTGTATACATGATGTTTCTTTTTTAGAGGAAGGGGAGGTCTCCTTTCTCTGAAATTCACACCATAAAGCAGCTTCTTGGGGTTTAATTGATTACTAATGCATCTCAAGGAAAGCAGTGTAGAGTATATGGGGCAGGGATAGAGTATAAACACTTAAGGAGTTTGGACAATGTGACAAAGTGGATTTATAGGGATTCTTTGGCTCTTTGGAAGACAGATTTATAACTCTTCTCATTCCCCAGTTCTAATTTACAGCACCTACTTTGCAGAAAGAATTCTGATGCTGTAAGGTGGAAACACTGAATCAGGAGATACCCTGGAATGTACACTTGGATTGTATTGGCGTACGGACAGAGGAGTCAGAATCTGAGATTTGACAATATAAAGCATAGGAGTGAACAAAGGGAAGGGAGGTAGGAAGGGAGATATGAGCAGCAAGAAGGGGGGGGGCGACAGAAAAAGAGAGAGGAAGTGACAAAGATAAAGACAGGATGAAAGGCAGACAAACTCAGAGCCAAAGAAAGCTGAGGATGCCTCCTTGTTGGTTTTAAAAGTGGAGGAAGATTGCCACGGATAGTGGTGCATGCCTTTAAGCACTCAGGAGGCAAAGGCAAGAGGATCTGTGAGTTCGAGGCCATCCAGGGCTCTATAGAATAAAACCCAGGGGTGGGGTCGGGGAGAGCAAAGGGGGATGGAGGAAAGAACCACAAGACCAGGAATGTGGAAAGTTTGTGTAACATGGAAAAGGCTTCTTAAAAAGCTCATAGGAAAGCTGCCTGAGGCACTTAGACATCGAGCAAATGACGTTTCTGTGCCATCTGAAGCCACTGTTTACAGTGATCTGAGATACCAGGCACCATTAGCTTGCAACCCAATTACTACTTTCCACATGGCTCTGCTGTGTCCTTAGACTCGGTCCTCAATATTCTCATCTCTGCCGTCTTTTCTGTGGGCATGTACACTCCATAGAGATAGGACAAAATCTGTTTTGGGCCTCCTGCGTCAGGCCCAAGGCCCAGCTCTTCAAAGTGACCAACTGTCCTAGATTGTCTGGGACTGTTCTGAATCTTCGGGGTCCTCTGTCCTAGAAAACTCTCAGCCTTGAATAAAATGAGGGTCTTGATCGTCCTAACTTGTGCAATCATGAATATCAATTACACAATAACCAAACATTCCCTTAATATGATTACAGAAATGCTAAAATGAAAATTGGCAGGAGTAGGGATGTGGCTCAGTGGCAGAACACTTGCCTAACTTGTCCAAGACAAGTGTTTGATCCCCAGCCCTGGATAAAAGAAATCAAACACATATAGCTAATAAATATCTTCCATATTATAAAAGATCATACTGTTGTTTCAGAAATGTTAAATTCCTATTAGGAGGTATGGTAGGAAGGACAGCCTTGTATCTTACTATTTAATTTGAAAGTTGTTCTCTGATACTCTTCCAAATGTTTCCAATTCTTATCAACATTTAGTAGCTAGTCTATTCAATTTTAGATTTCTATTACTAACATAAAGAATTGCAGAGCTTCTTTTTCTTTTTTGGTTTTTCGAGACAGGGTTTCTCTGTGTAGCTTTGTGCCTTTCCTGAAACTCACTTGGTAGCCCAGGCTGGCCTCGAACTCACAGAGATCCGCCTGGCTCTGCCTCCCGAGTGCTGGGATTAAAGGCGTGCGCCACCATCGCCCGGCTTCATAATGCCCTTTTATTCTGAAACTTCATGACGATGTACAGGTGTTTAGAAGTCATATGGAATGACTTCTGAAGAATGCCACTGAGTAGTTACTATCATTTACAGGGAAGACTTTTAAGTGCTAAAAAGACACATAAATATCTCACATATGTGTGCTTAATATAAAATCCTGAAAATTTCAGTGCTATGGTACACAAGAAAATTCTACATTTATGTTCTTATTCATATTCATGGTTAATTATGCTTATTTCATATAATTTGCATTTCGTAATAATGTACGAAATAACTACATTTACTTATTACACACCTTAGTATTCATCCCTTGAATGTAAACCCATCAAACATTGATACAGCTTCTTCAGATAACCCTCATTCTTAAGTGGTTGCAACCTTAGAGTTACAACCTGTTACTAGCAAAAGAAAAGCCCTATAGAAGTTCCATACTGCAGGGTCGGCTGGAACTCCATTGCTTCACATTCTACATCATATTCATCTGGTTACATGAAATTCATAGATGAATGAAGGCAGGTGTTCACTGAGGCGTTTTCAACCCCACACTGAGGTTTCAACACAAATCTGTTTGAACGATTTTTTTTAACTGAAAAAAGAAAAAAGGCATAAAAATCGATGCTGAGGCCTTTTACAGAAAGCAAGAGTTATGATAGGAAAAAACAAAACTCCATACCCGCCCTCCACCTGGGTTTACGAATTTAATTTGTAATAGGAGCCCAGTCTATGGCAGGGAAGACGGAATTACCTGATCTCTATGCAGGCGCAAGCTCAAAAGGGCAGGCAGAAGATGAAGTGATGTGTCTATTTGATTGCGCAACTTATTTGACTGGAGAGCGATCTCCCAGTGACTCCATGGACTGTAAACCTGCCTTGTCGCTTAGAGTTCCTAAAAGTGACAGGACTGAGCTTCACAGAGCTGAAGGATTTCCACGCCCAGCACTACCGCTAATTTGCACTGCTTGCGCCTAGCTCGACAGGACCCAACATAGCGTCCCGGGCCTCCACCCGCAGGCTAACAGTAGCTCTGTCCGCCCCGCCTCACTCTGGGAGAACAAAAAGCACCTCCAGAGCTGTGAAGTGCAAGAGCTCGGGATTCATCTCTGGGCTACGGAAGGGGCCTGAGGCCTCCGGGAGGAAGCAGGAGTCCGGGACTCCCTGCCGAGGACGCTGGCGGTCAGAGCTCCTTCTCAATACGGCCGAAGCCCATTGTGTCCACACTACATCGCCCCTCCCAGCGGCCCAAGGCGTCCACCGAGAGGAAAAGCTACACCAGCTCCCTGGAGCCCGCTTCCTCCTTCAGTTCCGTCCTGCGCTTCCACTTCCGGCCCTGTGCGGGCCGCTTCTCAGTTCACTTCCGCCCGAAAGTTAGTCGGGTTTCGGGGCGGGGTCGGGAGGCGGGTTTGGCATCCGAGGACTCTCGTAGATTGGAACTGTTCTTCCCAGTTTGCTTATTGACTCTGGACACAGTTGGACTTCGGGATAGGCAGCCAAGGAGACCAGGGGCGGTTCCGGCGGCGGGGCACTGATGGAGGAACAGAACCTGGGCATGGGAAGAGCTAAGCTTGGCGGGCCGGGTTAGATGATGGGGGGGTGGGGGGGAGAGAAATAGTTCTGAGGGAGTGGCTGCGGTGGGGATTAGTTCCGGGGGCAGGATGATAGGCACAGACAAAGCCTGGAGGGAGTGAACTGAGTTGACTGTGGGTGGAGATTAGTTTTAGGGGTGGCCAATGGTAGTGTGGGGTGTGAGATAGGCTTGCTGTGTTCCAAGGAACAGGGATTGGAATTGCAGGGATGGGAATATGGACGGGCATTAGTAGTGTGGGCTGTGTGAGTCCTATGGTCCTAGGGAATGTAAGATCGTAAGATCATCCCCAGGGGTGCTACTGCAGGTGACCCGCCTTGGACCATGTAACAACACGGTCCATGAATGAAGCTGTGTAAGGAGAATTTTGATTGCTTGTGAAAAAACTCCAAGAGAACAGGACAAGAGTCCTGTGACCCCAGCCCTCCAAGTACAAAATTGTTCTCGAAATGTGCTTTCATGCCCCTCCCAGATGTAGTAAATAGAAGTGGGTTTGCTTCAGATTATTTTACTATTCAGATGATGTTTCCAAGCTCCGGTTGTCCTCATGACTGTATAACAGCAGTGGTTCTTTTTTTTTTTTTTTTTTTTTTTTTTTTTTTTAACAGCGGTGGTTCTTAACCAGGTGCTTGAAGGACTCTTTCACATGGGTTGCCTGAAACCATTGGAAGACACAGATATTTACAGTACAGTTCATACCAGTAGCGAAATTACATGAAGTAGCAAGGAAAATAATTCTATGATTGGGGGTCACTACAACATGAGGAACTGTATTAAAGGATTGCATGAGGGAGGCTGAGAACTACTGATATACAGCCTAAATGCATGTGAACATGCTTTGCCCTTGTGACTGTATAAAGCTTGAATTCATATGAACTTTGCTCTTATGACCCTGCTTAACCCTCAGAATACCCTCCGACTATAAATGTTTGATGCCTTGAATAAAGTTGTCTATTGCATGAGACTTCAGTCTGCCTCATTTTTAGGCTCCATCCTCCCAGGCTCATATGGCCACCAAGAGTGGTAACAGATCACTCAACAGTAACCTTTCTTCAGTCTATTCTCCATGATTATATAGCCTACTAGAAGTACATTGTACACATTTCCCTGCAATTTGCTTCTTGAAGGCCAACATTATTTATTTTAATTTTTTGACAATTTTACACATATCTATATAATGAATTGTGGTAAAAATAAATGCTGGTATGAGCAGAAAACTTCAACATGAACACTGGGTAGGAATAACAAAAATTATTCACCTTTTGACTCTAATTGCTGGAGCTTTCTGGGATGAAGGAGAAGGGTTATTGCATTTAGAGCAAGTGATTGTTGTAGTTCTAATGTTTTGAAGAAATCCCATGTTGACTACACTACTTTCCATTCTCAGAAACAGTGTATAAAATTTTCTTTACTCTGTATCCTCAACAACATGTATTTTTTTTCTTTTCTTGATGAAAGACATACTAACTGATCAAGATAAAAACTCCTGCTATACTATTGGGTATTTACTATAAACAATCAGTCAAGGTTCTAGTTTGCTTTCAACTGCTGTGATAGAACATTCTGACAAGAAGCCACTCAAGGAAGAAAGGATTTATTTAGCTTACACATCCTGATCTCAGTCAATCATTGAGAGAAGTCTGGGCAGGAATAAAACAGGAAATATGGAGGAATACTGTCTTTGTCCCTTAGGTAGCTCACACTTTCACACAACCTAAGAGTTCCTGTCCAGGGTTGTAGCTAGAATTTTCCTGCCTTGCCCACAGTCAGGACAAATCTTTGTCACCCGCCAGTCCCACAGCTGCTCAGACCCAACCAAGTAAACACAGAGACT